TTACCAGCAATCATCACCCAGATAAGCAGAGATTAACACCAAGATTATCACCAGACATACAATCAGCAGTAAACAATGCCTTAATCAAGGAACTACCAGAGGGGAAAAAAATAAAACAAAACAAAACCCCCACCAACACTGGCAGGGCATGCCACAATATATAAACAGCAATCATCACCCAGATAAGCAGAGATTAACACCAAGATTATCACCAGACATACAATCAGCAGTAAACAATGCCTTAATCAAGGAACTACCAGAGGGGAAAAAATAAAACAAAACAAAACCCCCACCAACACTGGCAGGGCATGCCAGAATATATAAACAGAGAGCAAACCCCACTCCCTTCTAGCACTGAAGATGTTACCTAGCCCAGTAATGAAACGTTCGCAAGAAAACAACCAAGCTCAGAGAACCCCAAGGACTCCACAGTTCAACCCTGAGCTATACATATTCGCTTCTATTAGTAAGGGTTGAACATCACATGGGGCACCACTTGGAAGATAAGTGGAGGCCACAGAAACTACCAAGTTACTACCCCAAAGCAGAAGGTGGGATCAGGATGTGACAGTCCAGAAGGCTTCTGGAAGAGGAACCTCAGACCTCCAGCCTCACACCCTATGGGATCAGCCATTGTTTCCACTCAACTCTGTAATGTACAGCTACACAATAATATTAAATACAACATATTGTGGGAGGCAAGGGGAACCTAGCTAAATGTGCTTCCAGAAGTCTGTGCTTTTGTCTCTTCACTTTTTGGCAAACCATGACCAATAGTATGTTGTTAAATACAGAAATGTTTAATGTATTAAAAAACCTGTGAACTAGCTGAGCAATAACATGCTCATAGACACTGGAAAAATGACTGTTTTAAAAAAGGCAGGATGAACCATACTACCCTTGGAAATTTTTTTAGCTGTTTTTCTCCAAAGTTCATTGGAAACAGTTTTGCGAGCCCTTATGACTCAGTCGGAACAGACATATCCTTGTGCCATCACATTACAACATATGCTATATTGTCTACAGAACATGAAGGAAGGAGATCATCTAGTTCTTAGCAAACAAGCAGACTTTACACCATACTGTATATAAAGTCATTCCTGATCATACCTCATATAATACAAAATTACAGTGGGCATGGAAAATCTGGACCGATATCTTCACTATATAGTAACACAAATCTAATTAGAAGCTTCCTCATATTGATCAGACTATTTATCCTCTAATACTAATAATAGTGTTCTATTGTGCTGTTTTTCTACTGTCATGCTGTATAAAAATTACATGCGCTATCCTTGAACCTACACAGATAAATAAGAACTAAAATGTAGTGAGCTGTTCAAGGAGAGCGAAACTAACAACTGAGTTCAAAATATTCTTGCTCGCTCATCCAATTCCCTGAACTCAAAGGAATATTAACACTCGCAAGGCCAAGGAATAAGACAGTGTCTATATATCCAGATATTGGCATTAGGCAAAATCATATTTAACTACCCTCTTCAAAACTACAGCTTCAAGTGTTGCTTAATACCGGATCGGCTTAGAATGGAACATGGTAGCAGTTTATAGAATAATCTGAGTATTAACAAGTAACAACATCATTCTATGTTTTCTTTAGCCAGATAAACAAATATTATAAAGAAGGGAAATGAGCAACACTATTCATATCAATTACCACCAATTAAAGAAAAAAATCAGCTCAGTTACATCCTGTTCATTTTACTGAGGTTAACAAATGGGAAGATGTTTCCTCCCGCCCTTATTACCACATGTAAGTAATAATGCAAAACAGATAAAATGCTATTCTCCGTTAGGCAATTTTTTGTAAAGTAGAGTTCCACAGAAATTCAACAGGTCAGCTTTCTCCATACTAGAGATGCCTAATGTTTTCTAAACCAAGGGACAGATTTAGCCACCGAGTATTATAAACAATTTAAGAGTAGCGGAAGAAATGAGAAATGTCATTTCTTTTACTCTTAAACTTGGCAAAAATGAAATGCTGTTCATATGATTACTCTCCAGTCACGGATGTAAAAATGTCCCTTTTGGGAGCCTCTAGGGTTGTGTTCAAAGCTTTCAGATGTCAGCTGCAGCTGTGAAGCTTCAGATTGTGTATCTCCGACCTAAAACTAGCAAAATATTCACACAGCAAAGGCAGTACATGAAGCATTGGAAGTCTGTGAGCACCGCATCCAAAGAGAAGCATGTGAACTCTTCCCATTCTCCTTTAAGCAAACCTCTCCCCCAACTTCAGATCATCCAGATGCCTTAAGGTGGTGCAACATTCTGGCTTGCACGCAACGGCACACTGCTAACCATGAAGAGGCGGAAGCTGCAGATGACAGTTGGGAGGGCTTGTGGTGGTAAAAAGACACAAGAGAGTAATCAACCGGGGTCTGGCAAAGTGGTTTTAAAAACACAAGACCAGTAATGAGTTAATAGTACATACTGCCAGTTGTCCCACCTTCAGAATCAGACATTTTCACTGAGAAATTAACAGAGTGCTGTAATCTTTAGCTGCCAGCAACAAAAGAGTCACCCCCATTTAAGTCCAGGCAGCAACTATGCCATTTTCCTTTCCTGCCATTTCGCCCGTCACCCCCAGGCCGCCTCGCCTCCCCAATCTCTGTCAAGAACCGCTGGATCCATACGCCGGTTGCAAACAAGCGGAACAGAACAAAACGTCAGCCCTCCACGGCCTCAGGAAGGTGACCTGTTGCGCCACCATTTTCCACAGGTGCCAGAAGCAGAAGGTGTTGCCGAGGGACGGCTGGCAGCCAACGCAGCGCCCCAGCCGGGGCAGGGTCGGAGTTTGCCAATCCCGGAAAACCCGCGCTCTCCTCGCCAACCGCGGGCCGCTCGCCCACTCGCGCTTCCCGGCCCTCCGGCGGCGGGAAC